TTTTTTTTTTTGAGGGCAAGGCTTTTACAGCTTAATTCAATAGTATGTTCTTTCTGAATGGGAAATGCAGTGCCTTCTGACTTTTGCCAGACTGGTTCTTCTTTCTTCTTGTCTTATTTACAAGCTTAAAGTCTAAAATATTTCCTTTGTGCCATGCTAATATCAACCTCAATGTTAAATTAAGGTTCTTACATTGTATGAAAGACAGTTTCAGGTTAGGAGTGTGGCAGACACCTTTGGATCAAAACAAAGGTTAGCAAGTTAAGAAAGTTACACAGAAAATGCATTACACCTTACCTGATGATGTGACAATGTAGTATGTGTCGGGTTTTAGTTCATCAGCAAAGCATCTTTTCCATGGGTTTCAAATCCTGTATTGGGTAGGGTAGGATTGAATAAAGAAGAAAAAGGATTGAACTAGCAGCTCACATGAGAATGTCTTTGCCTGACTGAACATCTTGGCTTTTATGTATTAAAAAACCCTAAAACACAAAATAGTATCACTTCAGTTTTACTTAAATATTCAATTAAAGCTGTGTTACCAGAATTTCCATTACTAGGGATGTATATTAATGCTGACACATGTGAAAGCAAAAGTTTTGTTCCTAGCATAAGCTTTGTCTGTAGTGATATCTTATTTTACTTTCTAGAGACAGAAAGCCACTACTTTTCTGGCATTAAAATTCTGCCCCCTGTATATTTTATCTCCTAAATTTTTATCCTGCCTTTCTGACCTTTTGAGACACTGCCTAATACCTTTAGAGTGCTGATTGTTAGCCACCCTGCACCTTATTCCTTGAAAAGTGTATCCTGTGAAAAAGCATCTCCTGTGATGGGCACAGAATTCCTACACCTCAACACAGATTCCATTGTTCCTGTACAGGATCAATGAAAAAGCATTGCAGAAAAAGTAACATGGGGCTGTATTTTATGGTGTGATCAAACCCTCCTATGCCAAAATGAGCAACGAGCTGCATTTAAGTTTTTTTATAAATTTTTCTATGAATGGTTTATTTGGATACCATATTGCACAAGTCCACAACACTCAAGCATATTTTACTCAAATGCATCTTTCAAACTGGGAGAAAAGGCATGAAAGACAAAACACGTGACTGCTAACGTGAGCTTATCCAACTTTCAAAATGCAACGTAGCAGGCATCCCTTCACACTCTGAGCAAATGGCACATGGTACCAGGAGACATTATGTTTATAAAAGTGAAGTTAAACTGATAAATTAGACCTCATTTATTGAACAGCAGTTACAGCCAATTGCCCAGGGAGTCATTTGACACCTTTGAAGACCCTGCTAACTTAATTGGTGATAGTTTGGGGGCTGAAGGAAACATTTAAGCCTGTAGCAGCAGGACACCATGCAGCATGAAAATGGAGAAGACAAGCATTCTCACTGACAAGGGGAGTCATATATAGATTTTTGTGTCCATTGTTTTTGCTTATTTGTGTGTGTGCTTTACTCAGTCAATCAAATATAATTGACACCACTGGGTTCTGTTGTTTTGTGGATGACAGGAGCTAATGCAAGGGAAAAAAGCTGGGAGTAAACTTCCCCCTGAAAGGCTGTGTAAAGGTTTTTCCACTGGGCTTGTGACATTTTTTGCTCAATTGTATTAATTGATGTAGTGACAAGGCAGTTGGAAAGATGATGAATACTGATCACTACACCTTTCTTTTTTTTTTTTTTTCTTTTAACTATCTGGGCATTAACATAAACTCTGCTTTTGTGCAAGCAATAGGAATGCAGCCAGTAAGAATGTAAGACAAAGATTTTAGCACCTGCAGACTGAGTCTATAGGATTCAACAGTCACACCTGAATATAACTACAGAATGAAAAAGACATTGCCTTGGGACAGACAGGACAACCACGTTCCCACCTTGATTTTTCCCTCCCCCCTTGTGTTAGAAACTTTGATACTTACTGTCTCATTCCATGAATTCAAAGGTATATTTGATTAAGACTAATCTGGCTCTTCCCTAGATTTAAAGTATCTCCAAACTCAGCTTGGCTGAAATGGCTGGGAAGGTAAGGTTTCCACAGATAGTCACTAAAGCTGGATGACCAGCTCCCAGCTCTGCACTGACAAGGGTAGGTGGTCCTTGGATTCAAATCCCTACAGTGTAGAAACTACTCTGAGCATTTCTGTGAGAGTGCTGACATAATCACACATACTCTGCCTTCCAGCTTTCCCTAGGGGACACTACAGCTCCAAAACAAAGGAGATGCCCCCTCATGCACGTGAGTAAATGTAGAGTGCACAACAAATGTGGTAGCACAAGCACATATTCACCTTTGAATGCTTGATCTGAGTTAACACAGACATCAATCAGTCAGTTTTCTGAAGGACATCATCTCTGGAATTGTCTTAGTAGGTAAATTACATAATCAAAAGTACAGTTTTTCTGAAAATACTTCTAAGCCAGCTCCTTGCTTCAGGACTAGATTCAGAGGAGCTAGATAAAATGGAAGTTTATAAGAGTCCAGACTTCTAAAGAAGAAAGTCTGAGGCCTTGATACAAAATGTAAATACACCTGTGAATCAACATTAGGGGGAGCATAGGCATCATCTATGAACACGTATGTTGAATGAATATTGTACCAGTTGTACTCTTCCATTTATTCATTATCTCTGGTTATGGTTACTAGGCTGGGATGACAAACGTATTTTATGTGTTAATCTCCTAATTAGAAAATTGGTGTTGAATGTCCCACCACATACTTCTTATTTAAGACCTAAATATAAGAGGGATCACTGCCTAGAGAAAGCTGTTCCCTAAGATCTCATACAGAGCCAGAAATTCATTAAGAAAATTCAGGCAAATCCAAGAAAACCAAAGTTTTTTCACAAATAAATTTTCCTAGGAGTGTCCCATAAATATTTCTTTTGGTAAATCAATATAGAAGACCTGTGCCCAGAGATTAAGTGATCTGAATTAATTTCCTCCTCTAGCAAAGACATTATTTATGATGGTGGCCATTTAGTGTGAGAGGCACAAAACAAGAAAAAGTATATGGAACAGAGAAACTCAGCTCTACTCTGAGGGCCATCTCTTTTAGCCAGACCTTTAGCCAGGTGCAACCTTTTTTCTCTTGATTTCTGAGCTGGTTCTTCTCATTCCACATGTGCCAGAGGTACAGCGGATCACAACAAATGGTGTTTGGTTATGGGGTCATGGCTTATCTGCCCTTCTCTTTCTGATATGGAGCAACATTTGGTACCTGGACTTGGGGAAGTGTCACGACACCAGATCTCTGTAGGACACCAGATGGATGTGATTTCATTGACTTGCTGAAGCTGTTTTAGGACAGGTAGATCTATCCAGCGTGAAGACTGACTTTTTCTAGTAATGGCAAGCACCTTTCTCAACTATGAGCAGTTTGGTGTCACAGCTCATCTCTCTGTGCAGCAGCACAACAGTTTTACTGATGGACATGTAGGAATCTGGCCATTGCCTCTTTTTGCATTTAAAAACTGCAGATTTTTTTTATCCCTACTTCCACAAATACCCAGGAAAAGTACAACAAAGATTGCCTCCGATTTCAAGTTTTCTCCTTTGGATAGCGTGCTGTGCCTGATCATAATGCAGAGTGCGCAATATCTGAAAGAGCTGGGTCTCCGGCAAGGGCCAATATCTCCAGAAAAAAGGTATAAACATTTGCAACTTAAGTGGTAGATAACCAAATGCAGATACTAAAACAAAGTAAACTATGTCAATGTAGAATTATCTTCACAGTCCAGTCAAAGACTAACAAATTCTTTCTTATTATTGATTTGGTACATATTGATACAGCTTGCTTATTTGGAAAATGGAGATTCATCAACACAAATCTGTGATAATTTCAAAGTATTAGGCTGTTACAATTTCTGGCCTCAGTCATAAACCAGTAATAAGCTGCATACAATTAGACTGTATAGATGTTTGCATTGTATATTATATTGCACAACCTGACAGGTACAGACAAGTTGTTTAGAGATTAGCTGATTAGCTGATTAGGTTGAAGAAAACCAAGTAGCTACAAAGGGAGAGCCATAATTTTTACACTTTATTGAAGAATAGAGTTGTCTACCTACCAAAGTGGACTCCTGATATAAAAATTGGTATGTCTGTGTACCTGTGGAAGGGATTTTTTTTTTAATTAGGAGAACTAAGGTTAAATAAGATCATTAGAAGGCACTTTCTTGATGCAACCTTAGCATAAAGGGATGACTTGTTGTAGATTCTTCAGCTTTTTCTTTGCATGTGTAATATTTCTAACTGGTTTTTTTTTTTTTTTTTTAATTTTATGGACAATTACTAAGCTTAGCCTGCTTTGATTAGTGGGTTAAATGAACTAGAAGACAACATGATACTCCTCTTTCAAGGATGTGGTAAGGCTATAAAAAAGGCCCAGGGATACCTGAAATATTTCATCTCCTCTCCACACTTTAGGCAAAGAGTCTCAGGCCCCTCTTAGAGCTGTATGGGCCATGGGAGAGTGGGCATCACCAGGATGAATGGAGATGAGTTTCAGTGGTGACAGCTGATGATACTGAAAGTTCTCTGCATGCGATAAAATACTAGGATATAACTCCAAGCCTGTAGGCAAACAAAAGATGTGTGACATTTGAGAAGAGATTTTCCAGCTCATGTAGGACCTTGTGAATGATGAGGAAGAAAAAGGTCAGTATCTTGAAAGAAGGCATGAAATTTGGTGTCCTGATCAAATAGAAACTGCCTGATGATACTTTCAATTTTGATGTCAAGTTCCTATAAATTACTTTAATTCCATTAATTTCATTAAACTTTCAGTCACAGACTTGTGATATTTTAGAATGTAAAAATGTCCTCCATGTTCATGTGGAGTATGACACAGGTGATTTCTTTGAGATGATACACACAGCAAACTGCTAAACCAAATCTGGGACATTGTTCTTCTGAAATCAGTGTAAAACCTTGTCTTTTGAAAGGTACTCTTACTTCAAATGGCTAATCCCATGAGGGAAATAGTATATTACTGTCCTTGTAGTTTATCAGGTAGCTTCTAAAATATTTAAATGGAAGCAGCATTTTCTGCTGCCAGAGGAAATATCACATGCCTGGAATTGGGGATTTCTTTGAAGGTGCCAAGTAACTGGTAACACATGCTCTGAAGTCCCCTGCATGTCCATCAAAACAGTCTGTCAAAGACAAGGACCTACACAGAAAGGGTAATTTGGAGACATTCAGGTAAAAAAGAATCTAAATATTTTCTATAATCTTTTCTTTTTTCCCTCTACATCACTTCCAGATACTTCAGGGACTATTGGTGTCAACTGGAGTTGACTTTAAGATTAATAATTCAGGAGTTTGATCATATATGTATCACTTTATGTTTC